CCATGTCCCTAACCCTGCAATAGCCCCATAGAATTTCCTATGCCTCACCTGCACTGGGCTCCAGGTCAGGGTCCTCCGAGGTGGCTCTGTCTGTGTGGGGTCACAGGGTTCATGGCTGGTTCATTTCACAAGTCCATGGTATTTACATTTCTCTGTCCTTCCCAGTTGCGCCTGCCTCTCTCCCCTCTTGGCTGTCCAGTGCAATTTCCTCTTCTTTCTTTTATTCTCAGCCTGAGATTCCATCAGTCCCTTTATTCCTGAGAGGATGTACCATGTCCACACCTTGGGGAGGCGTGTGCTATTCCGCAGGCTTTAGAAAGGCACAAGGTGTGTGTATCAGACAAGGCTATGCACCCCTTCAGACGCTCTGGCCTCTGGGCGTTTCCAGCCACTGCTACAGCGGGAGTTCCACGCGGCTTTGATCCTTCTCATGCAGGTGCAGCCTGGCAGCACCTGGCTTTGAGGCTGCTCCATGACTTTGTACATCACGCCCCAGGCAAACTCACTGGGCACTCAGACGTGCACAGCAATGAAATGTAAGCAAGTGAACATTCGAGGGCCCGCCTCTGACAATGACGATGGAAGCCAGTTGATAGGTGCTTGTATTTCACTCCCAGGGATCGTGCTGGGTCACTTTCTACTCTGTCCCTCGGAAGGTCCCAGTGGGATGAGCTCCAGCTCTGAAGCTTTACTCGTGGCTGACTCTATAATACGTCCTCATGTTGGCCTTGCTCTGGCCCTGGGTGGCTCCCCAGTCTGTCACTCCTGCTCCCTGGAATGGTTTCCAAATAAAATAGCTGGGAACCTGGGCTAAGAACTGTTAGGTCAGTGGTTCTCAATCTTCTGGCCCTTTAAATACAGTTCCTCATGTTGTGTCCCCCAACCATAAAATTATTTTCGTTGCTACTTCATAACTGTAATGTTGCTACTGTTATGAATCATAATGTAAATATCTGATATGCAGGATGGTCTTAGGCGACCCCTGTGAAATGGTTGTTCGACCCCCAAAGGGGTCGCGACCTACAGGTTGAGAACCGCTGCGTTAGGTGGTGATGGGAGAGGGAATGTGGTGAAGTGGGAGAATCTCCTTTTTTTGGAGGGGGGAGGCTTTATTACCTGGACTTAATCTGTTATCCAAGATTAAGGCTGTGTTGTCTCTCCCCAAACACAAAGGCTTCCTTACCCTCCCCCATTCTGGTGTCCGCAGATCCTCTGCTGA